GACAACTCTGGCTGCTGTTAACTGCTCACACAAGGCCAGGCTCCRGGCTCGTGCCAGCTCTGGCTCTGTTGGAAGAGGTGCTGTAGGTCAGACTTCTGAGTGACCTTTTTGGGGGATGTCCTGGGCTCTGTGCAGAACCCCTTCCCCATCCCAATAGCTCTGCAGTCTGTCCATATAACCCAGCAAATACTGTGGTGCGCGGAAAGTTTATTTCCCTTAAGGCAGCTTTCCTTTCTCCTCTTTCCCTACTCCTATGGTTTTGATTATTTTGTAAGGCAAATCTAGAGAGGGCTTTGTCATTTCGAACAGAAATACACACACAACTCTTTCTCTTTCCACCTTTGCAACGCGGGCAGTGTTGTACAAAGGATGCAGTATTACTTCTGACAACAGAACTGTGGTAGAAAATGACCATGTGTGTTTTTATCCCGCCCCACCCAAAGAGATTTAGTCATAGTGTTGGAAATTGAAAGAGGTGTTTTTTTTTTTTTTAAGGTTTGGCTGTTACTGAGTCTTTTGGAAGAGAAAAGTTCCCACGTGTTGTTTAGAGGACAGGACATTGTCAGATACTGTCTGTATCTCTGTTTTCTCAAGCTCTAGGTGTGTGTTTCTGATGASCAGTGGTCACAAATTCATTGGAAACCCAAACTATTTTTAAAGAAGAGAATTGTATGGTTTTTATCTAGCTCTGGTCAGTTATCCATCTTCTGTAACAGGGGTCTGATATTTGAGCTTGTCACTAAAATTTCAAGAGATGAAAATCAACAGCCTTGAATAATATTTCCTTTTTTTGTTTTGTTTTGTTTGGTTGGGTTTTTTTGTTTTKTTTTTTAATTATTTTTTTAGCAGTTACAAAAGTAATTTAACAAAAATAAAATCAGAAAGTAGTCTATTGACGTTGTGTACTCGGTAGTCCTGTCCCTGCCTGTAACAGATTTCACTGATGTATTTTTTAATACAGAAAATTATGTGAAAAGTAAAACCTGCCCCTGATTCTGTCTGACCAAAGCCCATCTGTGTCTGTCGTTTCTGAGCAAAGGTTCTGCTTTCTCCCAGGCCTGGCCTGGCATTCCCAGGRGAGGTATTTTGGCCACTCCCCAGCACTCAGAGGCTCAGGGATGCTCCTKCAGGCTCAGTTATTGCTCCATGAACACCAATCTACCCCTCCCCATTGTTGCATTGARCAGTGAAATTGCAGGCACAGTGGTTTGGATTGGGAAAGTTCAAGGCAAACGAAACCATTCTGGAAAGAGCAGTTTGTAGGGGATTAGAAAGGCCCGAGGTGTGTCTGCTGCACCCAGGTGTCACTGCACAGGGGAGGCTCCAGGAATTGCTGCATTTTCTGGGCATTTTTGGGGGTGCAGCACCCTGTCCTTGGCTGCTCCCCCCTTCCCTGACCCCCAGGAATGAGCAATGAGGGCAGGCTCTCCTCGGGTGGGGATGATGTGAAAAAAAATCCCACAGCTGAGTGTTCCTTAATAGACATTGACAGGAATATTCCCATAAAATAACGTGGGATATTTGTACCTTATAAGAAAATACATCTTTCTCTGAAGATCCTCACCATTTCTTGCCTGGGAACACTTTCACAGAGGTTTTTTTGTGGATATTTAGAATGAAAGATACTTGCCTTTTAGATTCTCCCATCAAGGAAAGCAAAATCACTTGAATTTTCACTGGCTGAAAACAAAGTTGTTAAACATTGTGTAAACTCCTTTGACTTGGTGACTGTGACAGGAGAGTTCCATGTGTGTGACATTGCAGTTCCATGGTAATAATTAACACAGTAAGTAGTTTCAGTTTCAATTTCACTCCTGCTTGCAGGCCCTTTGGCAATGGTCTGTATTTTCCAGGGTCTGCCTGGGCTGTTTATACCTTTTCAGGGATTTCTTATCAGCCCAGAKGAAGTTCACACTGGCACAAGAAAGATTACCTTGAAGGATTAATATCTGTTTGTAGATTATACACACAGRCTCAAAATTCTGAACAGAAACTTGTTTGTAGTCAACATTTCTGACTCAGTTGCTGAGGACACGACAATGTTTATTGACATATTCTTCTAAATTCTTTAAATTCATGCTATATAATGATTTTATCATGTATCATTTAATTCTGAATCACAGAATTAACTGGGCTGGGAAAGATCTCTGAGATAAGTGAGTCCACCCTGAAACCTAACAGCAGCTTGTCAATCAGACCATGGCACTGAGTGTCACATCCAGTCTTTTTTCAAACTGTAATCTCAGTGTGGACAAGGAAGCAATAAAGATGGGTGTGAGAAAGAAAAATAGAAAAATTCCTGCTACCAGGATGCCAGCAGGTCCCAGTGCAGCAGGTGYTCAGTGCTTCACCCTGGCTTTGGTTCACTAAAGAAGGGATCTGGGGGCACATTGAAAKCCACAAAATTAGGTGCAAAAGGAAGTTAAATTATATTGGGAATTACTCTGCCAACTACTACTAAAAAAAAAATGCCCCAGGATTTCTCTGGAATAGTTTCCAACTCCTCAGAGACTTAAAACAGCAGCAGAGTCYCTTGTCACGTGTCCCCAGGTGTGCTGCTGGTTCAGTGCCAGAGCTCACAGAGGTGACTCAGAGGAATGAGCAATAAAGTCGTTGATTTTTTTGGTAACACTCTCAGTAACTCCCCAGTCCCTTGAGCAGTGGTTTCACTGTTGCCTTAACAACAAAAGAACCCAGAACAAATGCTCATGCATCAAATGCTTACCRTGCTCAGCAAGGCTGGAGCTTTGCTCTCTTCAAGCACAACAGGTTCCTCCCCATTCTTGCTCGAGCTGTCATCCATTCTAAACAYTTCAGAGGCAAAATTAAGATTTGCTGTCCTCATTAAAGAGCTGCTCCCTGGCAATACTGCCCCTGTAGCATCATCAGCTTTGTAAGATGATAAGTTAGAAATCAGTTCTGAGCAGTTGAGCTCCGGAGCATTTACTGTTGGTTTTTTGGGGTTTTTTTTGTATCTGTGTACAAGCAACAAAAATGTATAAAAATCATGGACCACTGCTGAAAAGAAAGGCTGGAAGGAATTTTGGGAGCACTGAAATGGATGTGTTGTGCCTCTGAGAGCTGCAGGTCTTGCCTCAAGTTGCCAGAACTTYACATCTGCAGTGGGTGAAGTGACAGAGGAGCCCCTATGGGATCCCTCCTCTGCCTTACAGGGCTCAGCTGCTCCAGGGAAATAAATCCCTTTGGTCCAGCCCCAAGACCACAGAGCTGGGCACGTAGGACTGACTCTACTTTTGCCTCTTCCCCAGGAGGATGCAATTGGTGTGGAAATGCTGGGGGGATCAAATGGTTTTACACAATATTACTGCATTTGTTACAAAGTTTATCCCAGCCCTTTTTCATGTGGTTTTTTTTTAAAACTAAGGAGGAAATCACTCACTTAGTCTGACCACTGGCACAAAGAGTCCCTCTAACTTCTTCCAGCCTCAGAGCTGTAAGAACTTGTCTGTTTGTCTTCTGTTTCACTCCCAAGAAGTGTTCCAGAAGTTTTCTGTTGTGTTGTGATTTCTGAGGGAATGATTTTGRACATGCCAGGAAGAGCAAGTGGCAGAAGAGCTGTTGCAAGGTGCTGGGAAGGTKCTTGGGCAGGCAGGTAATTGATGGTACAAGGCAAAACACTAATATAAATATGAAGTCTCTAAGATTCATGGTTTTATATTCAAAAATCTCGCAGAGGAGGTCCTTGATGCTCAGCCACTGGCAGCRGTGCTGGCTCTGCTTCAGGGAGCATTGCACAGTTGCAGAATGGTTTTTAAAGTCATAAAGGCTCAAAGGAACTCAGGCAGCTGGGATTCCTCTGGTCACAGAACTGAAATGTCTCCTGGATATCRCATTCCCTAAGCTGATGGATTTTCAGCAGAGATTCAATTTTATTAAAGAAACAAGGACCTGGGATACCTGACTTTCACTTGCCAGGTGGGAGAAGGGAATTTATGACAATGAAACAGAGAAATCAGACAGAGCATCACACCCCAAATCTCAAAATGAATCCCAAGGACACTGTTTTAATCTCTGCAGACCCAAGTGGATGTGGGCAGCACAAGCCACACAGCCCAGCTTGGTTGTGTCGGTTCTCAGTCTGTCTTTGGATATATAAACAAAGGTCCTTGGGTATGTGGATCCTGGGCTTTTTATCCTCTCTTCTRCATATTTATAACACAAAGAGCCAGAGATATCTGAAAAAGTCTTTTTGACCTGCTGGGAGCCAGGCTGCAGCTTTGGAGAGAGTGATGGCACTTGGCCTTTCTCCCCAGCTAAGCCACCAACTCATCCCCCAGCCAGGGCTCCAGGGCACACTCCCATCACTCCTGTCGGATCRATGACACCTCACAGCTTGTCCCTTCCAATCTGTACCTCGGTTGTACCCACTGTAAATTGGCCAGACTTTCCTACCTCGTTTGGGCATTATGAGGCAGAATTCCGTAGGGTGCTTTGCAGCCCYGTGATGAAAGGTGCTATAAAACTGCAAAGTGTTACTTCAGAAGATGTAACTAGGTCACCAGTGCATCATAACCTGTATTAAACAGACATTTTCTTACATGAGAATTTATAGAGTTCAATGTATGGTATTCATAAGTGAATTATTGAGACCCCAAAAATAGTTTTTGTTTCAATCGTATCTGTATTCTGGAAAAGTAATTAAAAAACGTTTAACCTTACTAAGAATGTATCCTCCTTTCCTGTATGAGGGAATCTAAGTTTAAATGCAGAATCTCACAGATTTCAAAYGGGGAGGGTTCAGTTGCTTTTAAGCCATGGTTAAAATTGCAGCTGATCACCTGCACAGCAACACCTGGTGGTTCCCATGTGGTGTTCCGTTTGTTTTTGTTCTGTGGCGTGGGCTGTAACCACCCACCTTCCCCAAACTTAGTGCAGGGGAATTGGTGGCACCACCAGCGAGCAGGTCAGTCCTGARGGCTGAACATCCCCTGTGCTCTGTCACCCTCTAATGCCACCATCACCCCAGAGCCACAGCAACACTGCAGGCAAAGCGTCTTTATTGGCTTCAGGGCACTCATTACTCGAGGGAATCSAAAGCTTTTCAAAGGACAGGTGAGGCACTGAGGGGTCTGTGGGRGCTTCCCAGCAGCTGCTATCAGCATGGCAAGGTCTTGGGATCAGGCATCTGCTTGKCTTCTCTTGGGTTCCTCATCTGAAGTTGTCTCCTTGTGATCATCACCGGACTTATTTTTTCTTGGGTTTGCCACTTAGATATCTTCGTTGGAGTTTTCCATCAAATTTGACAGTAAGGCACCAGTTCCTGCACCAGCTGAGCTCAGGGCGGATGTCAGCCCAATTTTTGCACCAATAGAGAAACCTGCAGCTCCTGCAAAGACACATCGAGGTGTGAAGACCCAAGAGCATGGAGACTGCCTGCTGAGGGACCAAGCACTGAGCACGGACAGCCAAGAGAGTTTGGAGCAGTTCAGATCAGTGATGGGTTAAAGGGCTGGTTTGGCTCTAGAGCGAGTCCAGGGTACAACCCCGTGTTCCTTCCCACRGGGATGATCCCAGGACAGCCTCCTGCCCTCCCCACTCACCGATGGACTGCAGCACAGCCACGGTACTGCCAGCAGCCACTCCGCCACCGTTGGCGATGGCCGCTGCCGACATCATCTTGGCAGCGATGGAGCCAGCGGCGATGCCAGCTCCTGTGAACCCCAGCGCGCCGATGACCAATGGGATGCCAACCAGTGCCACTGCTGCAGAGGGGACAGCACAGCGTTAGGGTGCTCTCTGTGACCCAAATCTCCCCTGGCACCAGCACCAGAACCAGCCTCCCCAAAAGGACCCCGGGACCAGAGCGGGGAGCGAGGGCTGGGGGTGGCAGGGACGGGGACAGCCCATGGCTGGCAGGAGAGGAGCAGTGTGGGACAGGAGGAATTGCAGACAGCGGCTGGGGCTGCCCTCACCCACTCCTCCTGCACCCCAATTCTGCCCAACCCCGGTACTTGCAGCCCGCAGCCCAGTCCCCAGGACCATACGGGGCTGGGAGGGGGCACTGAACCCAAGTGCTGCTCATCCAGTGCCAGACCCTCACCTGCTCCCACCGTGGCTCCAATGGCGGCTCCAATGGCAGCTCCGGTGGCAGTTGTTTTGGTTTCTTGTTTCTTCCCTGAGAAGGAAAATGGCAGGAAGGGCAGGAAGGACAGGAACAGGGACAGTAAAGATCCCCTGAGCAGGGCTGAGCACCCTGTGCCAGGGACCCAGTGCCRACAGCAGCTCCTCCAGCTTCCCCCTTTCTTCATCTGCCCCCGGCCCCTGCAGGGCCCCGGGGAGAGGCCACTGGTGGGGTGGGTCCTGCTGTCCCCCGTGAGAGAAAGAGAGAAGGGGCACACCCCGGGGTGCCCACCCACCCTGTCCTGCCCCACCCTGTCCTGCCCACCACACCCACTAACCCGGGACAGCACATCACACATGGCCCGTGTCAGCCCAGTCTGTCCCCTGCCACCAGCAYGAGATGAATCAAACCCAGCTCGTAACAAACCCATCCACAGCCCTGCCAGCCCCTCCCTGTGCAGGGGCAGAGGGAGCAGGGCTGGAAACGCTGCCCGCTGCAATCCCTTCCTGGAGCATGGCAAATCCCAAAGCACTTGGCAGGTGCCCAGGCCCCGATTGCTCACCCACCACCAACACAGCCCCACCTGCAATGCACATTTTTTCGGGGCACCCATTGCTCCAGCCCATCTCTTAAGATGGTGGCTCTTAAGATGGTGGCCAAGCTGCAGGAGCTCCCCAATGCCTGCCAGGCTGCCTGGCAGAGTTCTGATCAGGCACCTGCGTGACTTCACTTGGGAAGTCCTTTACCTGAACTGTTCTTGTCCTTGGATTCCTCATCTGGAGTTGTGTTCTCCCCAGATTCCTCATCTGGAGTTGTGTCCTCCCCAGATTCTTCATCAGGAGTTGTTTCCTCCCCAAATTTCTCATCTGGCGTTGTTTCCTCCCTGGTGTCCTCATTGGGAGTTGGCTTCTCCTTGGACATCTTGGCAGAGTCTGCTGCACCAAATGACACCAGGATAGATTGTGTTTAAAATTGTTCCAAATTTTGGCACCAGCAGAGAAACCTGCAGCTCCGGGCCAGCGCTGCCCCTCCCTCACAGCAGCAGCAYCCTGGGTGTCCCTGGCCCCAGCACTCGCAGCTCACCCCCGGCCCGGTCCCTCCCGGGGCTGGAGTGCCAGACCTTTACCTGCCCGGCAGCTCCTTTGCCTCTGTGTCTCACGGCTGAGAGGGAAAAGGGCAGGAGGGAGAGGAGGAAGAGGAAAAGA